GATGGAGGCGCCTCCAAGGGCAGCCCCACGGTGACCAGCGGCGTCCAGAGCCAAGCGGGAGGGCGACGGTCAGGTCTGTCGGGGGAAGGGACGGCGAGCAAGGCTGGGTTGTGGTCCATTTCAGAGGATAAGGGTCCCATGCCCTTAACTTCGCAGCATCTGCACTGAGATTTGACTCCACACAGAGAAAGGACCGACAGAATGGTCTTGTGGTGGAACTGAGAGATTCGAAGATTGCATATGGAGAAGGGTGGGTCCGGACCTCTATAGTGTCTGGGGACAGACTCCGGAAGGAGGTTGCATCCAATTGATGAGTATGTTCGTAAAGTCCTGTCTGAGGAACGGGGCAACTGCAGTGCAGCCCCTGCAGTGGAGGGTGGCTTGTGTGAATGATTCTCCGCACCCCTCCAACCCCACACCACGCAAATGCACTGCCTTTGACTCCAGCACCAAAAGGAAAATCCTGAGCCCACACAACAGTTTGGTATGCCAGACTTCGGAGGTGAAGATCTGGCTTGCTTAGCTCCCCTCCCTTTTCAAGGAGAAAGAAGTCAACTCTTACCCCCACCCCTCCTTCCCTCTCATCCGGATCAAGCTGTCCCAGGAGGAAAGAATGTCTTAAGACTCCCCAGCATGCCTTTAGGGGAAAGGACAGAGGATGGGTAGTTTGAGAAGTGTGGCTGGGGCAAGCTTTCTGCAAGGGCAAGTCAAAGCGTTTAAGACGCGGGATGGGAAGTACGGAGGATCTCACCAAAGAAAAGATGGGAAGGGGAAATGACATGGTGAGCAAGTCACCTTACAGATAACGGGAGGGCCAATTCTCTCAAAAGCAGTAGGGAACTCATTGCTGTGGGGGCACTGAGGATGCGGGGATATGAATGTTCAGGCTCACACCCTGTGATTTTTGACCCAACCATTTCATCACAGGTGAGCAGATGCTTCTAGCCTGAGGAATCCCACAGTTGCAAAGCCCCTCGCCTGCTTCTTCGGTGCTTGGTGGTCCTCAGAGAGCTCACAGGAGAAGGAATGGCTGTCAGCCACCTCCCAGCCCTGGTCCAGGTGATTGTCTTCCCTGTGGTGCTGGGAACTTTACATAAGTCATGTAAATGGTACAGGCTGGCAGGAGTCTAGCATAGTCCAGAATGAAAACCTTTCACTTTCTATTAGCCAGTAAGATGTGAATCCAAAATGGTAAAAACAGGCTCTGACAGGAGCCAAGAGAAGGAATTTGAACTTTTTCCTGTCAAGGTGGAGTTTCCTAGACTCCTTTCTTTCTTTTCCAGAATCTATGCAACTCTTGTTTCGGAGGACTTTTTTTTTTTTTTTTTTTTTAAGCTTTGTTTATTATGTATACAGTGCTCTGCCTACATGTATGCATACCCACCAGAAGAGGGCACCAGATCTCATTATAGATGGTTGTGAGCCACCATGTGGTTGCTGGGAATTGAACTCAGGACCTCTGGAGGAGCAGCCAGTGCTCTTAACCTCTGAACCATCTCTCCAGCCCTTGGAGGACTATTTTGTCAGTAAAAATATTCAAAGAACTCTACTTCTAGAGGCTAGGGGTATAGCTTTGTGGTATAGAACTTTGCTGGTCTGTACAAAGCCCTACGTTCAGTCTCCAGCATCACACACACACACACACACACACACACACACACACACAAAGACACAGGTAGTTTACACCTGTAATCCTAACACGTGGCAGGCTGCAGAAAGAAGATTGAAAGCCAGGGCCAGCCTAGGCTCCGTGGAGAGCCTTCTGCATAGAGCTCAGAGCTGAAGAGTATTCTGAGTGATGCCAGCCTCTTTGCCCCCAGGTTCACTTGGTAAAACCTGTTCCAATCCCTTCACTTTTAGGCCCTTAACTAACTTTGTAGGACAGGAATGTGTGGGAGGTGAGAAGTTGGGTGAACAACTAACCAGTTTCAGCTTGCTGGCTGCTCTTGTTTTTTTTTTTTTTTTTTTTTTTTTTTTTTTTTTTTTTTTCAAGTTTGCACAGCCATGGGCAGCAAGGGCTCTGTGCTGCGTTACATGTAGTAAGTGGCACCACAAGGCAGGGAGAAAAGGTGTGTGGGGAGTGTTGTGTGGTGAGAGGAAACACGAAAGAGTGGCGGAGGGGGGGAATTCACTTTATAGCAACATGCTCATTAGAGCCTCTGCAATCTGGAGAGACATGCCCCAGCCCTCCATTCCCACAAGATGGGCATTGCACCCTTCAGAGAATGGAACTCAAGTAACTCACTAACTTCCCCATAAGCCCCTCGCACCTCTTACATATTTCCCACTTCCCATCTGCACCGGACACCAGGCACACGGATGTGGGAGGAATGAACCATATCTGAGGCGTAACAGTTAAACACTGTTTATGTTGTTTACAGGCTGCCGTGATTTGGCTGCCATTGGGCAGACATAACTTAGGGCTACAAAATGTGCCAGGTCTATGAACTATGTTAGAAACCTGAGATGAATGAACAGTTCTTGATAAATCAGTACCTGGCTCACTTCAGCCAGTGTTTCTTGGCTCCTTGACGTGTACTGAGACTTTGGGTACAAGTAATGAACTTAATTAAGCTCTCTTAAGCTAAAGCAGGAATTTTTTTCTTTGCTTCTACTTGACCCTTCTTCCTCAGTGCACACTAGCCCCTGTGAAGACCACACTGTGAGAGGTGCTGTTTTCCATGCTAGATTTCAGGCTCCTGAGAGAGAATCTGTCCTTGTTTAGAAATTCCAAGGAAGGAAGGAGTTATAACCAGAGAAGACATGGTGTCATTGCACAGAATGATCACTTCCATGGTGTGTGTGTACACTCTCACAGGTGTTGGGGTGGGCAGATGAGCAGTCGAAGAAAAAAGTAAGACTTACTGAAAACAATGCTCTTGTGCCGCTGAGCGACGTGGATGCACTCTGAGAAGTGCATTGTGAAGCTGTCTCATATTATTTGAGCACAGAGGTCATTTCTCACAACTTAGATGGTGTGGGTCAGCCATCCAACCTGGCCTCCTAGTGTAATCCACAGTTGTGAAAAACATGAAACACGTGAGGCTGCTGCTGCTGAAACACGCCACACTGTTCTACAGTAAAGGTTTCTT